CAAAAAAAAAGGAGAATAGGTAAATTGATTTCCTTGAGCTTTTCACAACAGCGTACATGATCGTACTGGTCCTGCGCTGTGTCACACACTGCGCAGCTACCCTTATATACTTATTATCGGATTAAAGAGTTAAATCACATATCTACTATATTTATTACTTGAGCAGAGTAAGAAAGAGTTATTTTATTTATTAAGCAAGCATCCTATTTATACATTTTGATGGGTAAGGGTTTCAAACCCAGATTTGGGGTTTCGAACTGAATCTGGGGTTTCAAACCCAAATCCGGGGTTCTAAACCCGAATCTTAGGTTTCAAACTCTAACTCTGGGTTCCAAACCTGTACACGTGCTAATACTATTACATTTATATAATTTACTGTTTTTACATTTAGAAAAGAAGAACTATACTACAGAAAAATGCAGATAAAGAAAATTTTGAAGAAATTTTCCTTAAGATATTCCTCCTCTAAAGGGTGAGCTTCATCGAACCCGTCAACATCCTCCTGGTGTCAACCTCCCTTAACCTCCTTGCTTCTGTCAACAATTCCATAAAGTCAGAGTTCAATATTTGCTCCAGTACTAAAATAAAAATATATTGAACCATATATATACTATATTCTCTATGGGTACTGAACAACAGATATATATGTTTGACAATCTTCTAGACAAGGCTTCTCTTTGAACCCAGAAGTTGCTGAGCCAACTTTTTTCTTGCTTTATTGCTCCAGCCAGACTCAAATAGTAGGCTGCCAACTTTATAGTATAGTTTCAGAACATGAGCATTCGACTTGGCCCAAGGGTTCAAGTTTTCAACAGCATCGCACACCTGAATTAGTCTCTCATTCTAGGTTGCACCAGCAACTTCAACAGATAATACAGGGTCAAACCCAACAGAGCGGTCTAGGTCCTGAAGATATAGATGCATATCGTTATAGATTTGCTGGGCCTTGCTCTTCTTCGTAGTCTTTCTAAACATCTTTTCTATTTCTTGGTCTTGGTTGCAAAGTGTTACTCATATTTCTTTTATCTCCAATTTTTCCTTCTAGTTTATTAGGTAGACAAGTTGCTGGATTATTCTTCTCAATACTTCCAGGTATTGCTTCATTTATTTTTCATAGTTACTTAGAGAGAGTTTTTTTTTTTTTTTTATATAGCTTTTTTTTTTTTTGATTACTCAGTGCTTGTGTCATTTCTCTTATGTATCTTATTAACTGACTTCCGTAGCATGCTCTTTTGTCACCTTCTTACAAGAGCCTATTGTTCGTAGTTTATATATTCTATTTCCCATTATGTCATGTATCCAATAGGGTCTAGTTCACTTTTCTTTCAACTTACCACCCAATTGCTGCCCTAATTTGGCACGGTACCTCAAGACCTGATCTTTGATTTCAAAGCTTTATAACGGGTGCTATCTCTTGAGCTTGAATTCATGTCTCAAATAGCTCATCTATCAACTTCATTGTTCGGGTCAGAACTAATGATTCATATCACTCATCATCATTCAAGTCCACAGGTTAAGTTTCTACTACCAATTCAATGGGTAATGTTGCTTCATGACAGTATGTAAGGTAAAAAGGGGTTGAATTTCATTGTGCCATGCCTGGTGGTTCTATATGCAAATAGTGCAGGGGCCAAGTAATCATCCCAATCTCTGTCATACTGACTTACACATTTTACTAACACCTTACTAATGGTTCGGGTGAACCTTTCAACAAGCCTGTTACTTTGTAGATAATAAGTAGATGATTGTTTATGATTTACTTTTGCCTTATCAAAAACCAATTTCATGACCTTATTTACGAAGTGTGAGCCTTGGTCAGATTGAATTACACAGAGGCACCCATGTTATACTACTATATTTTCTAATACAAATGTAGCCACAGACTCTGCAGAACAATCGGCAAGGCTTGTAATTCGAGTCACTTCATCAAATACTCTACTGCAGTCTCAAGATAGCGATTTTCTTTTTTCGTAATAGGCAGGGACCCAACAATATCTATTTCTATTCGATCAAACAGCTGCATGTTTCCCTTGGTAACATAGAATTTAATTTGTTCCATTATATCATTTGATAGTCTATGATACTTAGAAGTATATAAACTCATATCAGGTATCATGGAATGACTGTGCTCCCCAACAATACTTGTGATACCAACTACCGATGAAGCTTTAGGTTGAGTTAAATTAATATGTCAGGAGACCCAACTTTCCTAGATGGTTGCTCACATTATTAAGTTTGATCAATTACTTTATTAGGAATAGTTACTTCAGAGAAACTATACTCAAACATTTAGATAAACAATTTCATCATTATCAATTTCAACTCGTTTACGACATAAACAAAATCCAACCAATCTTGCATATTGATTAACTCGTTTTTCAGCTACTTTCCATAAAAAAAAAGGTGTCGACAACACTAATATGAGCAGCATTTTCTAATCTTATGCTTTCTTGAGAATATTTTATGCCAGAACTTTGGCTGTCAACCTGTTCTTCTGTGTAAATTCTATCATTCTCTATCGTATTACCATTCTGTTCTTAAGAATATTCTATGCCAAAACTTTGGCCGCCAACCTGTTCTCCTGCGTAAATTCTATCATTTCCTATCATATTACCATTCTGAGCACTTTCACATTCTATTATGAGGCTATTGTCTTGTTCTACAAAACGATTACATTCTGTAGAATTTTCAACAAAAAAGCCTAACCTGAATTCAGGACCAAGGCAAAAAAATAAATAAGCAGTAAAAATAATGTTTAAAGTATGAAATAAAAATATCACTACTTACTTTCCATGACCAATTTACTATTTTGAACAGGGTCAATAACACCTTCATGCCATATCATGAGTTATTTTCATGTTCTTCTAAAGGATAACATTCTGCAGTATTTTCGAATAAAAGAAATAGTTCGTCTTCACTGTAATTTTCAACAAAAAACCTAACCCGAATTTAGAGCCAAGCAAAAAAAATAAATAAGTGGTTAGATATAGTATAAAGTGCAAAATAAAACATATCTCTACTTACTTTTCATAACTAATTTGTTCAAGTCATGTTCTAAAGTACTACCATTTTGAGCAGAATCAATAACGCTTTCATGCCATATTGAGGTATTATTATTATGTTCTACTAAAGGATAACAGTTTGCAGTATTTTTGAATAAAAGAAATAGTTTGTCTTCACCGTGATTTTTAACAAAAAAACCTAACCTGAATTTAAAGCCAAGCAAAAAAGATAAAAAAGTGGTTAGATAAAGTATAAAGCACAAAATAAAACATATCTTTACTTACTTTTTGTAACCGATTTGTTCAAGTTATATTCTAAAGTACTACTATTTTGAGCAGGGTCAATAATCTTTTTATGATGTATTGAGGGGTTATTTTCATGTTCTATTAGCAGGTTATATTCTTCAATATTTTCAAGAAAAAGTAATAGTTCAGCCTGAAGTTCCTTATGATTATCTTTAACAAAAAAGTCTAACCAACCAGAGTCAAAAAGATGAGTAGTCGTTAAATAAAGCACAAATGAAAAATATCTCTACACACTTTCCATAACCGATTTATTTAAGTATGGTATTAATTAGTTAAAGGGAAGCGATATATTAGTTAAAAGAAATGCAATAATGTGAGAAAATTAAGCGATTATTAGTTAAAAGGAAGCGATCTATTAGTTAAAGAAATGCAATAATTGTGAGAAAATCAAGTGAAAAATTATTAGTTAAAGGGAAACGATATCTTAGTTAAAAAGAAATGCAATAATCATGAGAAATTAAGCGAAAGATGCTTGCCATTGATAATTTATTTACTTGTCGATAATTTATTTACTTGTAAACAAAGAGCGGAGCTTTAATTACCACGATAATGAAACTATCACTATATAATCACGTGAAATGGTTTGTATTCTTGTTTTTTATTAATGTGCGTACTTTATACTAATTGATCATCTAACTATCATTACTGTTTGCAAGCAGGCGTATTAAACTTCACATCAAAATTGGATAGAAAAGGTATTAAATTTCACATCAACATTGGATGGCAAAGCTATTAATTATGGTTGACCTTCTATAAGTGCATGCTATTAGGAAAAAATGCATGTGCATATGTAGAAATTAATCTACATATAAATTATACTAGACTAATTAAACTACTCACTTATGGCGGTTAAGGTTCACATAGAGAATGTACTTAAGTGTGCTTATGTATGTCATATAGTCTCCAAGTCTTAAATAAAAAAGTCACGCAATCTGACATTTTTTACAAGCGATTCTCAAATAGCAACAGAAAATTTCTAACAATTTAATTTTCATTGTACGTAAATATGTATATACGTGCATATTTCATATTTATATGTGAATTATGCAGCATGATTTTAATATATTATATCAATATGTTACACAATTATTTATTTATTTATATAACTGATGATGATCACTGCCAGTTATTCAAAGTTATTTTCTTAAATTTATATTAACTTTTATACTTTTTAATTTTAGTAATATTAATATTTACGAAGCTACAGTTATTGATAGAATGCATCATTTAGATTTGGCATTATTTAAAAATTAAATTAATTTTACATTCGACCTTTTAAAAGAAAAATATGGTGGCTCAATTCTTAATATAATTGATAATAGATTAGCTAATATTCCATGGTTTTCAGAACTTAAAATTTTTAAAAATGAAATTCAATCACTTGCCAGAATTACTGCAAATGAATATCGTAATTTTATGAAGATTCACAGGTCGAAATAAAGTATATCGAAATCATATCAGTATTTTTTAATCCTGATATGAGCCTGATATTAAACTGAAGTTTGTCAGAAATTGGATACCAATAGGGGACCAATCGGGGTAATATCAGCATAAATATATATCAGTTAAACTGATAGCTCTATAGAAATATTGATATGGATATCGGATATAATGTTGATAGCTATATTGACATTTTATAGAGCTATCAGTTTAACCAATATATATTTATGCCAATATTACCCCGATTGGTCCCCTATTGGTATCCGATTTCTGCTAAACTTCGGTATAATATCAGGCTCATTTCAGGATTAAAAATGCTGATATGACTCTGATATACTTTATTTCTACCTGTGGTTATGATATTTGTTCTGGATAATCTGAATATAAGCGATTCTATTCAAAATAAGTTATTGAAGATTTATGAAGATT